TTCCCCCAAAAAAGGCACAAATACAACTATAAATACAATTCCAATAGGGGTCAGAGGCTCTTTATAATCCACCCACAGCTTTATTGGAGGGCTTTCAGATGATTTCAAAGATCTAAAGTATGTAGTTTTAAAAAATGAATTTATTTACATATGCTACTGCCAATGTGAATTAGTTTTAAAATATAGAGATTTGGGACAGTTATGTCTTTTGATGTTATAATTACTTTTTGTAACTTTTGCTATTATAATTACCTTTTGTAACTTAGAGTACTCACAGCAGAGCTAATTTTTCAGTTAAAAATAAGATCTCCTTTGTGCATTAATAACATCTCAGGGTCAGTTTAAGTGCTAGTCTCCACCCTGCTACTCAATGCAGGGTTCCTTCTATAACTTGCCTCAGAGATCAGAATGTAGCTTTGACCTGAACACACTCAGTGGTGGGGAGCTCACTCCCATGTTTATTGCTAGGCAAACATAAAGAGTTTAGGAATTTTTTTTCTTTATATTGGGCTGTAATCGGCCCTCACCACATACATTTTAGCCAGTGACCCTATTTCTGCCCCCAGGAGCTACATAAATAAATTGCATTTCTCCAGTGTTTTAGGAATTCAGTAGCAGCTTCTTTCGTCCTCTCTCAATTCTCTCTGTTACACATTCTAGTTTCATATTTAATACTTCTAGAAAAGTGATTTCATAAGATTACTTTTATTTTTTTCTTTATTGGTTAAGGTATTACATATGTGTCCTTATCACCTCATTCTCCCCCCGCCCCCACTCCTTAAAATTACTTTTAATCCCAATTATCTCTTTCAATGATACTCTTAAAATTCAGAGTCAAGAATTAGGCAGCATGGCTCAGCCAGTGTGATAAGGTGGTAAGCGTCAGACCATGAACCAGGAGGTGACAGTTTGATTCTGGGACAGAGGACAAGCCTGTGTTGATCCCCAGTGGGGGGTGTGCAGGAGGCAACCAACTGACGATGTTCCTCTCTCATTAATGTTTCTCTCTCTCTGACTCCCTTCCTCTCTCTCTTAAAAAATCAATGAAAACATAGTTTTAAAAAAGGGGTTAGGCAGCATGCTCCAGAAAATTTCTGAGTAGCACATGATGAGAGAGTGGTTCCCTCTCTTAAACTGCTGACTCCGTTGTTAGGAATGCCACCAACACCTCCAAGATCTCTGTTCCTAGAAACAGGTGACTCTACTGGGTCATTGTGAAACGGTGGTCACCCGAAACCCCTGGCTACAGTGATCTAGGTTGCCCTCGTTCTCTATATTTTTTATTGAAAATAATCTTTCTAAAAGCAAAACTTCCTGTTGACCTCTACCATAATTGCTTAGGTCATCTCTCCAGCAATTAAAACCTTTTGGAATATTGCTTGTATTGTCATTCATTATGTCATCTTCTCTCCCAAGTTTTGTGCCATCTACAAATGTAATAAACCTGACTTTCCCCCTCCAAATTTATTGGTAATTATATTGATCTGTGGTTTGCCAAGTACAAGCTTCCTGCTATGGATTCATTATTCATTACTCATTATTCATAATTCTTCAGCCACTTCTTTACAACTTTACCCAACTCACATTTAACCTTCTGACCTACAGGGTGGAGAAGAGCATGAGTATTATGTTCTTTTGGAGGCAATGCTTATTTCTTTTCCTTTAACTGTTACTTAGTCTACTTCCTTTCCTCAAACTCTGTTTTTTTCATTCCTTCATGTATTCATACTGCATATCCCACTCTTATATGTGGTCCCCTTTTCTATGTGTGCATTTTGCTATGGAGAAAAGAACCTACATTGCGTGTTTGGGGGAGTCCTTTGACTTCGGCCCAGTGCAGGGCTGGCCGAGCCTGTACTGTCTCCAGGAGGCCCTTCGCCCATGCTGAGAGTCAGCCTCTGGGCGGGTGAGGTGTTTTCCTACATGAGCATTAGCACTTGGCAGAGGAGGAGGCTGAGAATCTCATCAACACCCAAACCAAGTTATTTCCCTCCACCTCCATAATCACTCAAATACCAAAAGAGGGCTTAAAGAAAACTTAAAAACAACGTATATGTGTGTTTGGAGATGGGAGGAGGGCGGTGGGGAGAAAGATTTATTAGACCTCACAGATTTTACATTTCAATCTCAGCATTATTGTACCTATAATCAAATAAACATTGCTGATAGGAAAAAAAAAGATTCAAAACACAAATTTAGCAACGATCCATTATCTAATGGAAAGATGCCATTAGTGTAAACTGCTTTGGCAGCCAAAACATGTGTGGTTTATAGAAATGTTCCACAGAGCATCTCTGTGATGTCACCAGCTCTTGCCTCATCAAAACCTTTTACCTACAAACAGTTAGTGTCACACTCATCTAAGGCTAAGAAAGGCCCTTCCAAGGTTTGCCTGGGTGGTTTTACTTTTGAAAAGGCTTACTTATATAACTTTGTGACCATTGATATTGTAAAAAGAATTAAGTATGGATCAGGTCAGCAAGGAGACCTATACTCATGAATGGAAAATTAACAGTTGATTAGTGATTTAGTAAGTTGGATACTTTGGTTACTGATTTTTAAAAAACGTTTAACCCCCTAAAATAGACAAATCAATGTTGACATTAAGTTATTAACCCTAATTTAAAGGAAATTACCTTAAACGCAGCTTTATTACTCTGTAGCCAGTCACTTTGCAGATGAAAGGGATGAGCTTGGAGGCAAAGCCAGAGAGGCCCAGAGAAGTTCAGCTCGGGAGCGAGAGTGGCAGACAGCTGAATGAGGACTAGGCTCTAATATTTTATTATTTTTTTAATATTTTATTGATTTTATACAGAGAGGAAGGGAGAGAGATAGAGAGTTAGAAACATCGATGAGAGAGAGTTATCGATCAGCTGCCTCTTGCACACCCCCTACTGGGGATATGCCCGCAGCCAAGGTACATGCCCTTGACCGGAATCGAACCTGGGACCTTTCAGTCCCCAAGCCGATGCTCTATCCATTGAGCCAAACTGGTTTCGGCTGGGCTTTAATATTTTAGAGGGAATCCCGAGATCATCTGAGCCAGGGTAATAGGTACTATAACTCTGATAAGTCCTAGAGGATGTTAGGAAAATCTAGGTCAGTGTTCAAAAAGCTAAAGGTGGAAATAAGTTGGAGTCTCCTGAGAGTGGAATTTAATGACTCAGTTAGTCAGCCAGTTGTCCTACCCCGGTCGAGGGACTATGATGTGTCAGACCTTCTCTTATACCTATACTACCCTTAGGTTCCCGAACAAATGTTATCTTCTCAGAGTCTACATTTCACCATCCAGGTGTTTATCTTATGGGGTTGTTGGGAGGTCAGTGACTCAGGTATGGAAGACTCTCACATTGGTTAATTGGATGCTTTTTAAACTCTCTTCCCTTCTCCTTAGACTTCTGTAGACTTCTGTTTTTTTTGTGGGTTTTTTTTCCTCCATGTAATTTGCAATAACATGAAAAAAGTTCCATTTGTTACTAACAAATGTCTCTCTAAAGTCTTGGGTCAACAGGAATTGTGAGTGATCTGTATTTGCGGATCAAATTAAAGTATTTAAATATTATTACAACTGATCAAATATTTTTGCAAGATAATCCACCAAGCCCAAGGATGTCATTCTTTGCCAAACAGCACTCTGCAGTACATGAAAAAACCACACTTTCCCTCCCAGTTTTTTTTTTTTGTTGTTGTTTCATAGCAAGCATGAGCGGCAACTTCCTTTCATTTATCAGTTCTAATTGGTATGTTTTTGAGTAGTACTTATAAAAACCTCATAAACCAATTTTCTAAAATAAAAAATATGTGTAAAATTTCCTGTATGCACACTGTCAGCTAGTATAAAGATAATTTTGTAGATTGATATGGCTGTAGTAGTTGTCTTCTGATTTATATTCCAACTTTGAATTAATTTTGAAAAAAAATCCGAATATACATTAGTGTGAAATGGCCAAAAACATATACCCAATTGTTTGTTACTTCATTAATTCTATCAACCACTTACGTGGTAAATATTAATGAGCACCTACTATTTGCCAGGCACTGAGTTTAGGACCCCAAAGTGAATCTACAAAATCCTGACATCAAGAAGTGTGTTCTAATGAGAAAGACAGATACACAACTTCAGTTCTATTGGGTGATTGGTACAAGGGCAATGGATCCAAGAGCAGTAGGGGAAATATGAGAGAGATCTAGGTCATTCTACGTGGGAATTAGAGAGCCTTCACAGATGAGGCAAGCTGAGACCAGAAGGATGAGTGGGAGATTACCAGGTGGGTGAGTGGGAAGAAGCCATTTGTCAGAGAACAGAACAAGAAACCCATAGGTGCTTGATGGAACCTGGTCTGATCAGGGAAGAGGGAAGAGGAGGTTGTATTGTTAAAGAGTAAATTACTGTGAAAGGCGAGAGCAGGAAGGGCTGGTGAGAAATGAGGCCAAATTGGTAGGGAGCGGCCAGATCACATAAGCCTGTACAGCAAGCAAAGATACGCCAATGTTTGTTCTCTCTGTAGGAGGCAGGGGAAGTGACTGAAGAATTTTGAGTACAGAGGTTTCATAATTATAAGTACGTTCCTCTTCCCAATGACAATATTAGGGTTCTCTTGTTGTTTACGCGTTACAATGAAACGGCAAACAGCACCCCCTTTGTTCCTCGGGGTTTCAGTGGTTCTCATTGTAACAGAGTCCAGAGATGCCAAAGGAAATATTTGAACTAAAATGATATATCAGGATTACAATAAGAACCTGTGAGCAGATTTTTCAGGCTGTGATGCAACTCTTAATGGAGAAGATAAATTATAAAAGATTGGCTGCCCCTCATGGAAATTGCGTATGTTTTCATTCCTTGGTGAATTAAAAGGTTTGCATAGGATTAGATTGTTGCAATTCTTGGAGAAAATGCAGATGCCCCAGCAAGCACTTCCCACCCATTTCCTTTATCTCTAGCAGCAAAGCAGTGTATATGTTGGGATACCTTTCATCTAAATTAATTGATATCATTTCAGGGGTTAAACACCTGAAAGGCCAAAGTGGATCAGCATTCCCTGAAGAAGAAGAAGGGGTCACCGAAAGAGAAAAGCAATGGGACCATTAATTACGGGTCTGCGGCAAGAGGGCATCTTGGGAGTATGAACGATCGACTTTTCTGAGTAACCTGTGGACGCTACTGCTTGACTTCCAGAGGCATTCTCCACCTGTGCTCGCCACACTCAGCCCGGAGCAGTGCACCTCCTCGGAAGCCCTCCCTGATTGGACTTGAGAACTAAGTACAGATCCTTCCATATCACTTACCAGTAAAGAACAAGCACTTATTTCACAGGGTTTTTTCTTTTTTTCTTTTTCATGACTCTGACATTGGCAAACATGGGAGTGTTCTAACTTTAATACTGCTGAGCTTTCATTGCTGATGTCCTACTGACACAGTTTGCCTTCTAAGGTCAAATGTAAATAGCAGCAATTTAAGAGTAAAAAGTAAATATTAAATACATCTAGACATCAATGTGTGTCTGGGTTTAACTTGTAGAGGAATATTTCATGAATATCAATATTTAATAAGTTTGTTACCTTTTAAGTTGATCTGTACATAATATTTATCTCAAAATGATGAAGGTTTCTTGATTCAAAATACCACAGTATATTCATCTTTAGTTATTAAAAAAGAAAAATGCTAAATCTAAAATAAAATATGCAAAACCTGCCCTGCAATGTTTTTTTATTATCATTTGAAAATATTCCCTACTGCATTTTAATTAATCATTAGCATTCTATAAATCTTCTATTATTATAAATAAAAAATTCCATTAGTTCATGCCTGAAGTCATTGATTAATTCAACAACTATCTTTTTAAATCAGTAAGGCACATTGCTGAGGGTTATGAAAATAAAAGAAAAATAATTTCTTTTCTATAAAACTGGCAGAGAAAATAAAGCAGTAGAATAAATCAAGGTTTATTCTAAGACAGTATTATTTATTAAATATGGCTTTTGATAATTCAAAGTTATGGCCTCCTGAGCAATGTTAATTATTTATGACATTTCAATGTAAAAATTTAGTGACCATGGAGGAATGGCAAGCTTTCTTCCCACATTGATGATATTAGCGAGGTTCAAATGTTTCATGGATAAAAATATGAAACGATTTCTCAAAAGTCAGTAAAAAGAAAAATTAGGACAGAAAGAAAAAAATCAAATGTGGCCTCCATTGTGGGATATTAATACCAAGATTCAAAGATGTAAAACTATATTTTTAAAATTTTGAATGTGATACTTATAAAGACTGAGAGAAAAATGTGTGAATTTATAAGATGATATAGTAGAAATGATCATTTTCCTTAGTATATGTTCTACAAGAAAATAAATGCAAAACACACTGTTAAGTAGTATCTTAAATTTGAATGAGTACTCTTCCTTTCTTCCTTCCTCCCTTCCTTCCTTCCTTCCTTCCTTCCTTCCTTCCTTCCTTCCTTCCTTCCTTCCTTCCTTCCTTCCTTCCTTCCTTCTTCTCTTCTTTTCTCCCTTCTTCCCCTCCCCATCCTCTTTTCTTTGTTTGTCTTTTTTAGGTCAGTTTCACCCAAAACTTCCTGGAGTTTCTAGATCACCTGCTGTGACTGTTTGATTTCCTAAATATCACTTTACTTAAAACCTGATTAAGTCACATATTGCTTTAAGTGATTTTGAATTATTTGTATTTGAAAACATCCCTAGACCTCTTGAGATTATTTGAGCACCCTGAGGTGCTAAAAAATAAAACTGCCCTTCCCTTTCCTTGAACAGATACTTTCATAAATGTTTTTTTAAGAGGGTTCAGACAAACAGAAGAAAGCAAAGCATTTGCTGATTTTGTAACATCATTTGGGAAATAAACAGCATGGCTTCTGAATTCTTCTCTTCTGGCCTCCATTCTTAAAAACACAAAGAGATCAAAATTAAAAGCATAAATTTTCCTTAGAAAATGTTGCTTTCTTCTAATCCGTTCTCCACTCTCAAAACAGAGATCACATCTAAAAGCATACGTTGTCCTTGGGAAATGTGTTGGTTTTCTCAGGAATTTGAAGGAAACCAGCTGAGATAATGGCTTTCCAGTTTCCTTTTCACACAGTACTTACAGTTTACAACAATTCTTTTTCAAGAAGATAACTTGGCTTCAGTTTGACTGAACGGGCAAAGAGACTTTCTAACCAAAACAGAATAAAACAATAACTTTATCTTTCCCAGACCACATTTAAACTAGAACATAATGGCTAGTGGAGGGGGCTCTGAGTCACTCTGACTTGGGTTCAAGTTAGACCTCTGCCAAATTTTTTTTACTCAGTTTCTCTATTTGTAAAATGGATGCAATTGTTTCTACCCCTATTGGGATTTTGGGGAAATTAAATAAGACCTATAAAATACTTAGCACACTTTAGTGAGCATTTAATAATTGGTGGCTATTATTACTATTATTAGAGTGAGAAAGGACTTGAGGCTATCGACCCAAGGCTTATATATGATCCTCTTCAACATTACAGACAAGTGATGAATCTCCTCACTTAGTCTTTTAATAAATAGAGAGGAAGGGAGAAGGAAAGAGAGATAGAAACATCCATGATGGGAGAGAATCATAATAATAATAACAATAGGCAGCAATTATTAGCAGTGCAAGTGAAAATTGAATAGGAAATGCGTATCTAGCTACTTTGAAATGTTCATGCTTACATATAATTTTGAACACTTGTTTTTTCTGAAGTAGGATGGGGGGAAGAAATATCTTTACTTTTCTAAGTCCTTGATTTCACAAACCAGTCTTCAAAGCTCCAGCTGGTATATTGATTATTGAACATTTTTATGTTGCTGAAATGTGAACTCTGTTAAAGAAAATTACTGCACTTCATAACACTATAACATTCTGAAGAACTAAATATCAGAGGAAGAAGCATTTCAGAAAATGATGGCTGGCCTCGTGGTTTTAAATGACATTGTAAGTACTTAAGGTGTGAACATCGTTATGGGATATTTGCAAATACACCATAGAATTCACCACCCCCCCAAAAAGGAGGGGGGAGTTTCTACTTTGCATTGCTCTCGAACTAAGTAGAATAATCTACACGAATGCACAAGTGTCGGATTGCATTTTGTAAAGAGGCTCAAATATAGCTCTTTCCTTTGCGGTTACATTATGGGGCTCCTTCACGCCGTGGACAGACATAGGGGCAGCCACTGTCCTCAATGCATTTCATACTTAGCTTATGCAGACAGCAGAGTCGTGGTCTGTGGAGTGAAGATGTACATGATGGCAGATTGGAGAGAAAAGTAGGTGAAGGAGAGAACGCAATTCTGGAAACTTGATGAAGAAACTGGAGAAAGGATATTACAATGATATTGGATTCATCTTCATTGTTGTTTTTCATTCTACAAATGTGATATCATTCTCCCTGTGATATCATTCTCCCTTTTTCTTTGACTTTAGTAACAAATGAAGCAAATGTGAGGCAATAAGCACCATGAACCCCAGGAGTATATTACACTAGCATGTAAAAATCCTGAAAGTGACAGAATATTAGAGTAGTATGCTCGGCAAATGATGTTTCATTATTATTCAGAACAAGCATTTGTCAACAAATAATAGAGAACCCAGCTAAAAATGTCCTCCCACCAATCACTAATTGGGTAACTTACTGGATTCTAGCACACACGCTTTGTTGCTATTAAGAGGTTTGTGTATGTCACACAATGTAATGTCTGAGACTGAAAGTATGCCTCAAGATGCCAATGGGCATCCAGATACTTTTCATTTTTCATAACATCCTCAAACTTATTACTTTATGGTTTCAAGAGAGCTGCTGCTCTGGGTCTGTTCCAAGCAAAAGGACTAGTGGGAAGTGAAAGGGAAAGGATGCAGAGCAGAGAAGCAAACTGATGTCTGAACCCGTACTAATGTCTCATTTACCAGAACTGTGTCACAAGACCACCCCCTGATGCAAAGGCTTTGGAGAAAGTCAGTATTTTTAACCAGATTCCTTGCCACCTTCCAACTAAATAAAGGGCCCCTTGGAAGGTATAAAGTGACCCTGGTTATCAGTTGAACAGTCAGCAGTCATCTGCTTTCCAGGGGAACAGAATTCAGGGATTTTTTTCCATGGGGCATCTAAATGAAGCACAAGCTATTTACACCTCTCAGGGAGTAAAAACATTAATTCTCACTAGATTTTATTTATTTATTTTTTTGGTTAATCCCCTCCCAAGGTTATATTTTTTCCATTGATTTTTAGAGAGAGTAGAAGGGTGAAGGAGAGACAGGGAGAAATATCAATGCGAGAGAGACACATTGATTGGCTGCCACCTGCACACACCCCAATGCAGGCCAAGGAACCTGCAACCAAGGTATGTGCTCTTGACTGGAATCGAACCTGGGACCCTTCAGTCTGCAGGCTGATGCTCTATCCACTGAGCCAAACTTACTAGGGCTCACTAGATATTTTGCTCCTTAAAATGCATACATTTTGGTAATATTTATGATAGACCTGAAGCTATTAATATATAGAACAATTCAGTTATCCTTAATTATTCTTTACTATTTTTTTTTCATGGCATAATTTGGTACAGTTTTTAAAAGTCTACTTTAGAAACAAGAGACCACTATTATGGTTCATTCTTCAATAACATGCATGAAACCCTAAGGCATGCTAGACATTGCTTAAGTGGTGAGGATTCAGGTGTTAACAACATAGCTAAGGCCCTTAAACCCATGGATGTATATTCTAGTGTTTGAAGACTGTCAATCCTATCTAATAAAGAGGGAATATGCAAATTGACCATCACGCCATGACAAAGATGGCAGCACCCATAGCCACAAGATGGCAGTGCCCAATCCCCAAGCCCTATTGGAGTTCCCTAGTCCTTTCAGCCCCACCAGGTGGGAGAGGGGGGCACGTGGTGCAGCTGGTTCTTCCCTCAGCCCCCTGGCTACCTAGGGCTGGCCCAAGGCACAGGCAAGCCTTGGATGTTGGCTTCCCAGCTGCCTAGGAGCAGCCTGAGACATAGGCAAGCTTCAGATGGTGGCTGCCCAGCCATGTAGGGCTGCCTGAGGCTCAGGTAACCAGGGCTGGCTGAGTCTTG